ATGATGATGATTTAACAGTGCTAACCTGTAACGCATACGTAGCTGATATTCTCCGCATAATTGTTAAAATCGAAGAAAGTAAGGTCGACCACTAAAGTCAACAAAACGTAGACCATTCCCGCGTAGAAACAAATCTTTAGAAGATCTCTTTTTTTCTGAAACATAATACAAATAACAATAGTAATTCACAAGTTCACTTTTACGTGTAGTTAAGTGGTCTAGTCTCCCGGTTAAATACCGCGACCACACAGAAGACAGACGTGAAGTGGGCTCAATTCCACGTTTGTGTGATGAGTGTGGTGCCGGAGATCCAACTTTAGTCCCGTTTCCTCCCCCCTTTTTCTTATAAGAACATTAATGGGAAGGGAACTTGGATTTGATGGTGGTAGAGACATAGAAAAGGGAAACATCCTCTTTGTGTGCGTCTCCTCGATCGAGTAAGGGTAGGCAACGCATACACTATCGGGAATGACTATGGGCAGCGGTCGCTTCGCCATTTTGGCGGATTCGGGTGACCGCTTGCTAGTTTGCCACCCCATAATATAAAAAAGTGCAGTTAGGCCTCCCGTACGGACTTATTTTAGTCCACCTTCTGATTCTCATCTTTTGTTATAAGGGATGGAGAAGGAAATTGGATTTGACAGGGAAATGTTTACGCACAGAAAGAGAAAATTCTCTTTCCGTACGTCAATTAAAGGAAGCCAATTTATTTGCAAGGAAATCTATGGGCAGAAGTCGCTTCGCTATATCGACGAATGCAAGCGGTTATTTGATATTTTGTCACCTTATGGTATGAAAAAAATACCTTATGTACGCCAACCAACAGAATAATAGTTAACAGTACGTCAATTACATTCAGGGCTATTGTGATTGGCAGATGATAATGAGGCTCCAACGTCAGTGAAGTGACAGTGATCTCGCCAGTCGTTTTTGATTCCACCAACATAAATATGAGGATCGGAAACGATAGCAGCGTGAATACCTGAAAAGATTACCAGAGTTAGGAGACTGCAAAAATTGACAAATTTAACAAAAGAAACACAAATTTCGGAGCGCGCGCACACCTACTCCCAACTGTTTAGTTTGATTCCTATAAGCTTATGATATGTACGCACACTACTCGATTTTTAGTTGTAGCAACTAAACAGTTGAATTGCCTGCAAAACAATTGAAAATCGCTCAACAGATGTGAAATTGTTCAAAGATGTGCGCACTTGTACTACCTTTTTTAATACAAAGAAAACAATTGCAACATAAAGAAAATAAACAAAACATCATCGTTTAAACCCTAATAAATCTACAATTAACATAAACGAGTTTTATTATCTTTAAAAGTCTATTTCTATCATATTTGGAATTGTTTTGAGACATGAATACGCATTTTCTATTGTGTATACTCAAATTTGCAATTTCGCTAAAGATTGAAGTACTCATTAACACAGTCTTCTTAAAAATTATTTCATATATCTAGTATTAAAAAAAACAACAAATTTAAAGTTACTAATATTATAAATGCGAAAGTTTAGTCGGATGGATGTTAGAGTTTGCAACCTAAACAAAGGAACGGACCTCGCTGAATGGCATACATAGAGCATACTCTAAAATAACACATTGGCTACTAAGTTTTTTTCCGCATGGAAGTCGAAAGCTACTAGAAAATACTCACCAGATTGCTGTAACTGCATATCAGAAGGCCACGACGTAATGGAACACAGCAACAACATTTTTTAGCCATAGGAAAATGTGGACTCTCGAATTTTAAACATTTAGTTAGTTCCTCCATTATAAACTGACTCACAGAAACTTTGCATAAACATAAAATGAGCTGAACGATTAACAAGCGCTAAATATTATAATAATTAAAACATTTAAAAAGCTAATTAAGTATTGCAGTAAACAGACGTAAAGAGGCACAAATGCGTCCGATTTATCGACTCTAACCTCAAAATATGTAAACAATTTCTCTGAACATAATACTCCTAGTTATTTATCTTACTTGAGAGAGGTCAATAACAAGTGAACGAGGATATTTTAGTACAATAAACTTTTTAAATCCTTGTTGTACGTAAAACATTCTTGAAACTTTTTATATGTTTACTTGATAGAATCAATTTGGGCAACAATTTTATCAAAGCTCATATTTAAATTATTCCAGACAAGTGTTTGAAACCATTACTGGATTGGAGAGTAATGGAATGGTTCCAGAATAGGTTTACAATTATCCCTCTGTAATGCATTTAATTACAGAAGTAAAGAAATTTAATAAATTAAGCAATCTCTAAAAATATCCCTCTTGTAGGTCAATTTATTAAGAGAATGATTGAGAGAAAGATTGGGAAAAAAAACTATCAAATTCAAAAATTTCACGTTTTTGGGATCCAAACGAATTTGAAAGAAATAAAGAACTCAAGTATTCTCCTTATCTGGTTTAACAAACCACCGTACTCATAGACTTTAAGTGTAGATTTAGAACGTGGAAACAAGCATTAAAGGACTTTATTAGACAGTAACGTCTCCAATCGAGCTATATCAGCTGAAAAACACAATTTGTAACTAAAAATCACAACAAACAAACGACATTTAATTCACACACAAAAACACAAGTGTTAATAAAAATCTAATGCAAAAAGCGTGTGCTTTTGTTCTACGAGAAAACAGAGAAATTATTATTAAAAAAAACTCAACAATATTCTTACATTAACACCACTAGAGTAGTCAAATAGCCAATCCAGACTGTTAGGATTTAGCGGGATCCGAAATATCTTTCAAGAACATCCTTTCACACAATTGGATACTTCCTTTTGACCGCCTACTGTAAATTATAGTTTAAAACTCAAAACATGATACATTGCAAGTTAAAACTACAATACAAATAATATTGTGTTCTAAAGCAGCAATGTAAGTCGAACTAGGAAAAGAATTGTTAACGCCTACTTTTGCTTTTATTATTGTACATTAAACAGGGTTAATTGATGAACTACGTAATATAACTACGTATATATACTTCTCAAACATGATTACTAAAAATAGTTTGTTTAAAAATCATCGGAGAAAAGTATTTTTATGGACTTGATAGGCTACTTTCCAAAAGTAAATTTCACCATCTAAAATCATCGGTTTCAGAAAACAAAATTATTTCCTTTTTTTGGAAATACGCCTTGTAAAAATAAGTAGCAAATTTTTAATCAAGTACCGTTGCGTATCAAAATAGAATTACGGAACTATTCAACTAACTATAAATATTCTACGAATAGTACAAGTACAACAATCTGAAAAGTATGTTAAGAAAATAAATTTTAACATTTTATTATATTCCCTAATTAATGCACTAAGCTTTAAGAAGTTACTTAAAATAACATTCAATGTTCACTAACCTATAACATCCGTACGATTTATCACAGAATTAATTTTATCTTAGCCAAAGGTTAACAAAAACAAGTCAGAAATACGTATTTGTAATTACCATTGTGCTGATAACGTCAATCTTTCGCAAAAACTACAAATTTGATATGACTTCTTAATAAATTTTAACAAATTAACAAAACATAAACAGACAAATTGTACTCGATAAGATTCGCTTGAAATCATTTATCTTTGTTGTTTACTATTTTTGCAAAACGTTATTTGTACCCGAGGGGAAAACCTCTTTATTTTCCTAATGATAAATATATTACAATACTAGCTGTCGACCGCGACTCCGTTTGCGCGGAATAAAGTAACTCATGTACAATCGGAGAATCTGGTGGTGTTCCGCCACAAAAGCTAGTCGCTTGAACAATTTGTATGCATAGACGACACGGAACAATAAGCAATTTTAAAACAAAGTAAGCATCTTGGAGTAAACTAAACAATAACCATTTTAATTGTCGATTATACGAGACCAAAGCTGGAGTGAGTTTTTATATATGAAACACAACACGCGTCAAAGAGTAGATAAGTCCAGGCGTATATCATAAAATGTACATCCGTCCATACGTCATTTCCCAGCTTCCAGTTTTGATAATACTAATTGCGTTTAATAAAATATAACTACTTTGACCTCATAAAAGTCTGTTTTGCAGTTACTACTGTGAAAGCTAGATAAGGGAATTAAAAAAATATTTTATAAAGAATGAAGGCCGGAAATACGTAAACAACTGGCACACTTGGATGCCAGGTACTGGCACGTAACAACTACAGAATATTTAGAATGACAATACAGTAAGTAGCTAAGATTTAGCAGAACCTTTACTGTAAGGTTTATGTAGGAATACCTTCGGCGAATTTTTTACGCTGACGAATTCGCGGGCAATCGCTAGTTTTATAACCGGTTACACGGATGTTTTGGTTCTGAATGACAGTTCTCAGTTCACGTTGTGAATGAGCACACGTGTTTATGTTAAACGTTTTTGTATTAATAAGTTTTAATTAATTGGAACAATGTTTGTGGAAATGCCATTGGTGGCGCGATGCTGTTTTTGCGCACCTTTGAGATATGGACTTTTGATATGGGCTTATTTAAAGTTGGTGAGTTTTTAACATACTTAAATATCTTCTTCTTAGTTATATTGTAAATTCGAATGTTTACATGCATGGATGTTTGTTGCAGTTTGTAGCCTAAACGACTGAACGGATTTCGATGAAATTTGGCATAGATGTAGTGGATAGTCTGAAAGAATACATAGGCTGCTCGCTTTTGTTTATTTTTAATTCCACGCGGACGGAGTTGCGGGCAAAAGCTTGTACTCTATATTCGTTATGAGAAATTATTGATCTAAGAATTTTTTCTCTTTTAAGAATAAGGATTGAAAGGGTGTAAATTAATTCTTTTTCTAACAATCAAAAAAGCATTAAAACAGCTCATAATTCTTTCTGACAATGAAAGAAAGTACTGAAAATGTAATAGATTACTTATGAAAATACTAGCTTTCGCCCGCGATCCCGTCGCATGGAATTAAATAAAGTGAGTAGCCTATGTGTTCTTCCAGACTATTATCTACATCTGTGCCAAATATCATCGAGATCCGTTCAGCAGTTTAGGCTACAAACTCTAACAAATATCCATCTAAACTTTTGCATTTGTAATATTAGTATGATTAATAAAACCAAATAATATAATGAAAAATGTTGTTATATTGCAGGTAACAAGTGTTCTAGCTTTGGGCATTACAATAATGTGGGTGTTTCTTTGGCTTTTTTTCACACTGGGTGAAACATCCTTACTGTTGTTAATTCTGTCGACTCTAATTAGCCTAATAGCTGATGTGGTCTTCAACTTTATACTTATTATGGGATCTCATAAGGTAAGGCAGGACTTTTCAACGTAATTAGCTATAGTTAAAAAAATGCCTCTTAAAGTTAGTACTACTTCAGAAGACTCCCACTGATTTTGTACAAAATTGTTTGGTCCATTAAAGTTTGTTTTTTTATTTAAATTAATAATTCAGGAGTTTTAAGAAGTGAGCGTATCTCTTTCTCGTGTCGCGGATGTATGGGCGTTGATGGTCCTCGGTGTTGCCACTGTTCGATTCTTCCCCTTTTCCTTTAAAAAAATATCCTATATTCTTACGTTGAAACGAAAGTATCGTCTAGCGGTACAAAGTATGTTTGAAGAAATATATGGATACTCGCTCCGCCCGCGACTGCGTCCGCGTAGAATAAAAAAAAATGATTAGGCTACGTGTTCTTCCTGACTACGTCTATGTCAAATTACATCGAAATCCGTCCAGCCATTAAGGATACAAACTCTTATCTATCCATCCAACTAAACTTTCGCATTTATAATATTAGTGAGATTAGTAAGATGTGACGTGAACTTCACTGCGTTCTAATAAAGTTTTATGTCGTAACTATTATATTATTTGTTACAATTTGTTCCAGAAAAACAGATCATTATTGTGTTTGTATCACCGCTATGCTTACGCCCACGCCGCTATCTTCTTAATGCTGGGAGTTTTGTGGATCTCGTATGCTATCGTGGAGAATGGAAAACCTTTGAACAAACCTGACTCTGTGATATACATTCTATGTATGGTGACGTCAGTAATCGTTCCTTTAAGTAAGTTATCTATCAGAAGGGAATTTGATTACGACCGTCAATCTTCGATTTGCATTCTTGAAACGATATTAATCCGATTTTTACATAGTTTATATAGATATTTTATCTACAGTATCTATACTATTACTATATCTATACTATTATAATAAAGCGTAAACACACACTTCTTTGTTGCCTAAGATGTCAGCAGTCACAGCATATTTTTGAATAATTCTTTCTTTTAAAGTCCTACACTTGCGTCACCCTTTAGGCTATATGCATTAACGCTATTAAACTTAGGGGGTAAATATTTTGGATAAAAACCCTAATGTGGGAAAGAGACCATAAGTTGCTGCCAACATCAAGAAAGAAAGTTTGTTAATGTTTGTCATGTCATGTCATGTCACATTTGCTATTGATAATTTGACAAATATAAACAATATAATAAAATTTTCATAATTTCATGCGGATGAAGCCGCACGGGAACAGCTAGTTAAACATATTTAACTATGTTATTGAATTTTCTTTTTGTTTTCCAGTCTTACACATCTACCTCTTTATAGTGTTACGAAGTGAGATACACAAACTGGAAGCGAAGGATCAAATAAATTTCGTGAATCCAATCAACGAGTACATATCTGGGACGGAAGACCTTACCACGGACAATAAAACTAACGAAGACAACTAGAACTGTTGTAATAAAACTTTTTAGCTTATAATATATTTATAGTTAAGGAATGTGTATTTATTTCAACATCTTGTAGCAAATAAGCAAATTGGTAGAGTAAGAGCGAGCAAAAACCTCAAACAACACTATCGCACAACTGTTATGATTGTCGATTGTTTTGCAACCAATTCAACTGTTTAGTTGCATATCTAAACATCGAGTACGCACCTTTATGTAATCTCGAAGGAATCAAAGCGAGACTAAACAGTTGTTCGATATTAGAAACTAAACTAACTACAGGTGTACGCACGCTCTCGATGTCTTGGACATCCCTAATAAGTTAATGTCAGAGTACAATCTAAGTCTGCCTCATCATCAATCTGTACTTATCCTTATGGCATATCGACATAGCATGTACAGTCGGGAATAACTGCAGTATTCCACTTACACCGTAATTACTTTGTTATTTTTTTTATAATATAAGGTGGCAACGAGCAAGCGGCCACCTGTATCCACCAAAATGAAAAGCGACCGCTGCCCATAAACATCCGCAATTGCAGATGCGTTACCTACCCTTAATTGACGGAGGAGGAGACACACATAAAGAGAACGTTTCCCCTTCCTATGCATCTCTTCAAATCCATCAAATCCACTTTTCCTTCCCATCCTTACCTCTTAAGAAAAGGGGGGAAAAGGACTAAAATTAGGCCGGCACCACACTCATCAGACGAAACGCGGAATTGCTTCCACTTCACGCCTGTCTTCTGTGTGGTCGTGGTATTACACCGGGCGAGCCGGCCCATTCGTGCGAAGATGTTAAAGCGGGCTCTACCACTGTTATTTTACAAACAACCAATTAAGTTAGCAGTGAGTAGTGCAAACGATGGGATAATATTAAAAAGCAATTAGCTGTGTGCTAAGTATTTATGTTCTATTGTTCATTGGTTGATGTCGTCGACGCGACATTTCAAACGACTGTAACTTTAGAGTTCGAACACCGCCAAATTCCCTGATTGTACTGCTCTTCTATACATTTTTATTAGCCGTCATATATTAATGCACTCCCTTGTTATGGTTAAGCATAATCTAATATGTCTACATATCAACCTATACAGTACAAGAAAAAATAAAGACACAAATCGCATTAAATTCTTTATTTCTTAAAAAAAACTATTCAATTTACAAAGATATGTTCTAAAATCTATGTTAAGTAATATTTCCTTTTAAAAAAATAATTATTATATAAAAAGTTTACTTATTTACATCCGTTATAGACCCACTTTATTAGGACCCATTTTGGGCTGCGCCAACGCAGTATGTAGTTACATCTTATGTCATTTTTTTAAACATCCACCTTTTCCATTGTGCACGTTGGCTCGTCTTGAATGTTTTGGAAACAAAACTGTGTGTTGTTTTCTAGCTTTAAAATCTCGCTTCGTACTAACGACAATAAGTAGATATTGAACACTGAAATAAAATTAAATTATGAATACTTTTACCTACATTTGTCGAACAATCTACTGGAATTTACTGTAATTTTCCACTGTAGTAGAAGAGAATGCGGTAGAGTGGAGATAAGAAAAAGTAAGAAGAGTGGAACACAAGTAGGGAATCCTCTTTAGGTGCTCGCCTCTATAGATTAAAGCAAGGCAACGCATCGGCTAAGCTATCTATGGGCAAAGATCACTTCGCTATTTTGGCCAATTCAAGTGGTCTCCTGCTCGTTTGCTACCTTTTATTAAGAATGTTGATAGCCTTTGAATTCCTATGAAAGGCACTACATAATATATTAGAGAACCTTTAATTTTACACGTACGCTAATATTATAAAAAAGAAAGATTTGTATTTTTGTATGTCTTTGATTCACGCTAAAACTACTGGGCCAATTATAAAAACTCTTTCACCATTAGAAAGGTAATTTATCTGTGAGTAATATTTTTTTTAATTTCACGCGGACGAAGTCGCGGGCAACAGCTAGTAATAACTAAGTTGATTTGACAAAATACTTACATATTACTCCAGTTCCAAATATCGATGTCTCGTAAATATTTTGTATTATAAACGTGAATTTCATGTAAGTAAAATACTCGTAAATCGCAATGCCCAAAACTACCAGACACAGTAGGAAAATTATTCCAAGAATTATCATTCCATAGATGTAGTACACCCTTAGTAGTTTCGGGTTTTTCTGAAACAAAATTTCTGTTACAAATATATTGAGCCACTAATAAATTAAAAAAAAAAACCCGGACGTATCGTTGTTACCTTTTGCTCTACATGCGCTCGCAGATTTTTGACTAAACCATCGCATAACTTTTTAGTCTCGGTTTGATTCCTATGAGCTTATACCGAGATGCGCACAATAGTTTTTTAGTTGTACAACTAAACAGTTGAATTGACTGACAAACAATAGACAATCGCACAACAGTGCAGCAGTTTATTAAAAGCTATGCGCCCGCTCTTGAGGAGACTATTCCAATTGCAGAAAAACTGCCTTGTTCTTGCCACGAGACAAACAACGCCAATACGTATATAATAATATTTATGTTCTGCGTCGTCTCAATGTGTTTAAAACGTTCAAACAATTATATTTTTTTTAGATATTACACCGACAATATCCCCGACTGTACTGGAGGCCCAACTTTAGTCCCTTTTCATTCCCACCCTTTTTCTAATAAGAAAAGGATGGGAAGGGAACGTGGATTTGACGGTGCAGGATGCATAGGAAGGGAAATATCCTCTTTATGTGCGGCTCCTCCTCCGTCGATTTAGGGTAGGCAACGCATCCGCTATTGCGAAGTCAGTTTGGCGGATTTTTGTGGCCGCTTGCTAGTTTGCCACATTATGTTATAAAAAAACCTATCTAAGAAAACTTAAGGGTCTGGTTGTAAACGGACATAAGTAATTGTTACCTTATGAGCTCCGATGATAAACACTATGGTGATGATAAACTCAATAACGAGACTTGTACAATATAGAGACGGTATTATCAATTGAACTGGATAATAATTGCCCTCACTTGTCTTTAATATTCGAATACAGATTAATGTAGCTAAAAATAAACACCACGCCTGAAAAATAATAATAATGTTAATAACATTAATATTTTATATACGTATATCGTTTCGGTACACGGGCTAATAGCGAAGAGCTTCGACCAACACCTCAAGAAGCTCTCGCTAGACAGTTGGATTAAGGGCCCGATTCAAAAGGCGGTTATATCCGCAGCCGGTGGTGCTCTGTTTTTTATATAATATAAACATAATTTATTTATTACATTTTTATGCAAATCTTGTAAAATATATTATATAGAGAATAAAAAATAAAGATATATGTGGATATTAATATAAAAGTGAAAGTTTAGCTGGATGGATGTTAGAGTTTGTATCTTGAACAGCTCCACGGATCTGGATGAAATTTGGAATAAAAGTAAAAGATAGTCTGAAGAACATATAGTCTATTCACTTTTGTTTGTTTATCCCATGCCAACGTTTTTGCGGGCGAAAGTTAGTAAATTAATACAAACAAAAAAGGACCATTTAAAACACAAAGAGCGTGTGCACCTTTGACTAAACTGTCGCACAACTGTTTTTTTTTATAACATAAGGTGGCAAACGAGCAAGCAGCCACCTGAATCCGCCAAAATGGCAAAGCAACCGCTGCCCATAGACATTCGCAATTGCAAACGCGTTGCCTACCCTTATCCGACGGAGAAGGAGACGCACATAAAGAGGATATTTCCCCTTCCTATGCATCTCCTCCATCGTCAAATCCACTTTCCCTTCCCATCCCCTCCTTATAAGAAATGGGTGGTAAAGAGACTTAAATTAGGCCTCCGGCACCACACTCATCAGACGAAACACGGAATAGCTTCCATTTCACGCGTTTTCTGTGTGGTCGTGGTATTACACCGGGCGTGCCGGCCCATTCGTGCGAAGATGTTAAAGCGGGCACTACCACTGTTGTGCGATCGTCGATTGTTTCGCAGCCAAACTAAAAATTGTGTGCGCACCTCCATTAATCTCATAGGAATCAAAGTGATAAACAGTTGTTGAATAGTTCAGTCATAAGTGTGCGCTCTTTGTCTTGTAGTAAAATTTAATACTTACCATTTTAAAATACGCCCAAGCAAGTAATCCATATCTTAAAGGGATACAAAAACAACATCTTTTTATCTCTGGTAGTTCAAAATACATTTTATTGAACAGAACAATAAAAAAGCGTAACACAAAGAACCTTTTCACTGCAGCTTCACAGCTATACTGCGATTTAATAAAACTATATGTTTATATGTAATAATATATTTTGTATCGCTCTGACACAAGGTCAGTCGTCTAAATGATAACAGTAGGGTTATAATAATCAGTTTCCACTGCAGTAAATACAAATAATCTTGCTAATATATGTGAAAGTTTAGATGGATGGATGTTTGTAGTCTATCGATGAACGGATGTCTATGAAATTTGGCATAAATATAATTAAATCTGGAAGGACATATTGGCTACTTTATATTTTTTTCACTAAATAAGTCTATACATAAAAATATATCTACATACATATAATAATTGGAGTGTCTGTTTGTAATTCCAGATTTTGGGAACATGATTTATTTGCGTTGCTGATAACGAAAATCGCATTTAAGGAATTTTTGTCTGTTTGTCCGTTCGCAAGCCGCGTGTTTACTTGGAAATCTCCGAAATGGGTGGGCCGATTTTGACTGGACTTTCACTAGGCTACTTATATATTTTAATATTACGTGGACAAAGTCGCGGACAACAGCTAGTACAGAGAAATGTAAACTACAATAGTAACTTTTAAAATCGAATACACATTGAAATTGTGACATATTGACACCTAGTTGCCCATCCTAGATATGCTATATAAACAATGAGGAAAGATCTGAGCACTAGGATTTCGTCGAGATGGCGCTGCATTATAATATATGTGTTTATGGATTTTTTTCTTAAAATAAATTATACTAAATAACAGCATACATAATTTCATAGGTACGTTTACGTTCTAATTTATACATATCTGTGGTATGATTAACAATAATGCATAATGCACATTACAGCGACAGCGAACCGAATCCGAAGCGAGCGCTATTTTACCAATACAAGCGATTTTGATGAATTTTTGTTACCACATATCTCGAAGACGGCTTAACGGATCTCGAGAAAATTTGGCATAGGTATAGACCATAGACTGGAATAGCACAAAGGTTACCTAAAAAGTTTTTATTTAATTCTGCGCGGAGTCGCGTGCAAGTATTTGTCATGAACCTGGCAACTTGATTTAGTACGAACAATTTTGGCCATAAAGCTTACATCATGAAACAAAATATTACTTGAAGCGAAATCAAACTTTACTTATCGCTATTTTTTATGTATTTCGTGTTACATTTCGCTTCGCTTTCGGTTCGCTTTCGGGACAGTGTACGTAGCATAATATAGATGTACAATATAGAATATAGATGAGATGGAAATGTACAATATAGATTTAACTAGAAGCACTAAAATAAGTAGTAAGTCTATATTTTGGCCTTCCTTTTGGCTTATTTCAAATCTTATTTACATAAATATTAATTTACACTCTTTAATCGGTGGTTACAGTTTCATAAAACATCTAAGTTAGTTACCACATTTACTACACATTTTTTGACAAGTATGTTTAATATACACTAACCTAGAACAAAAAATATAAATACAAGTTCTTTAAAACGCGTTGAAATAATTTCATAGCAAAAATATTTAAATTGTTAATATTTAATTAAAGATTCTTCCTTTTTTCTACATTTGCAAAAACTCTTATTATTCTTTGGCTAATAAAGGTGGAAATTAAAAAGTCATATATTTAATTCTAATGATAGAAAACAACCGCTTGTTAGTATACAAAATTATTGTCAAGCACAAGAAGAAAAGGTAAAAACGACATTCCTAAAAAACATATAAAAGCAGTCATAGACGTCACTGATCCATTGTTCGATGTCACTAACGTGTGTCAACGCAACGTTCGAGCTACTCCTAAGTCAAAGAGATTTTAAAAAAATATAAGGGAGCATAGCTGACACTTGACTTGAGACATTTTTCACATGAGAGACACTTTAGTTTATAACAAAAGATGGAGCTTATTATGATTTTAAGTTTAAAGTATAACATGTCAATACAAGGACACGAAGTGGCGTATTAAACTTAAAAACTGATATTCATTCATCCATCCATATATCCATCCATCCATCCATTCGTTCATTCATTCGTTCATTTGTTTGTTCGTTCATTCGTTCATTCGTTCATCCGTTCATTCGTTCATTCGTTCATTCGTTCATTCGTTCATTCGTTCATTCGTTATTCGTTCATTCGTTCATTCGTTCATTCGTTCATTCGTTCATTCGTTCATTCGTTCATTCGTTCATTCGTTCATTCGTTCATTCGTTCATTCATTCCTTCATTCATTAAATGATTCATCCATTCAATGGTTCATTCATTCATTCATTCATTCATTTATTCATTCATTCATTCATTCCTTCAATCATTTATTCATTCAATCATTCATTCATTCATTCATTAAATCATTCATTCGTTCAATCATTCATTCATTCATTCATTCATAGTACCTTTCAAAGAAATTATAGTAAAACAAATGTTCACTTTGTCTAGTCTACGTATTTCTTAAATATCTTTGTCCAAAGTACACACAAGCTTCCTACACCTTCATTTTTAACTGTACAGTCGAACTGTACTAATATTGCGTGTAACTTTATTATCTATTAAGGTAATAATAACACAAATAACTAATAATCACATGCTAATAATATCCTATACTAGTAATAGTCATTATTAGCATGTGAAATTGTCTAGACATGAGATTGTGATTCCACTAACATTTCCTCCATTCATTCTTCCTTAAATTTCTTGTTCTTTCTTCGAAGGTAACAGAGAGTTCCGGGAGGCCGAAGTTTGCTTTATAAATTTACATTGGCATCCCATTCTTATCTTATTAATTTCTTTTTTAATTAAAAATAAAGCGCATGCGTGTACAGCTGAAAAAAAAATATATTATTAGTATTCCAGTTAGATTGTTTGATCGATGATAGATTTTTGTGCAACTGATCAGTTGAATTGGCTGCGAAATAATCGACAATCGGATAACAGTGTGCAATTGTTTAGTGAAATATGTGCCCGCTCTTAGGATATGACGGTTGATAAAGATGTTTGGAAGAGTACATACAATTCGGACACGCAGTAGAATCACTACAGAATTATCTATACTATTATAATAAAGCGTAAACACACACTTCTTTGTTGCCTAAGATGTCAGCAATTACAGCATATTTTTGAATAGTTCCTTATTTAATGAAAAGCCCTACATTTACCTAACGCTTTAGGCTATATATTTTCACGCCATTAAAGTTAGGGGGTAAATGTTTTGGATAAAAACCCTAATGTGGGAAAGAGACCATAGGTTGCTGCCAACATCAAGGAAACAAGATTGCCAAGGTTTGTAATGTCATGTCATTTTAACATTTGTAATTGATAATTTGACAAATGTAAACAATAAAATAAAATGTTCGCAATTGCACGCGGACGGAATCTCGGGCGAAAGCTAGTTTAATACAAAAAGTGCTGGATTCAGGACTTACTTAAGACACCGGCGATTATAATTGAAGCTACTAGAATTTCCTTCTTTGCTTGAGGTCTACGCCAGTCCATATCATGAACGTGTATCGAGTATAACAACCATGATATAAAAACCGTCGGTACAGATATTGCGTAAATAATTCCATACACGTAATAAATTTTGAACATGCATAAGCTTTTCTGCAACAAAAAAAAGGAATTTTAAAAAATCATGTCTTGTATATGGTAAATAGAAATTTAATCCAAGTGAAAATTTTTAGGCTAAAAGTGGAGAATTTTACTTATTATCTTACTAATATTTTAAATGCGAAAGTTTAGATGGAAGTTTGTTTGAGTTTATAGGCTAAACTGCTGAACAAATTTCGATGAAATTTGGTATAGATGTAGAGGATAGTCTGAAAGAACACATATGCTACTCATTTTTGTTTTTGATAATTCCACGCGGAAGGAGTAGCTGGCAAAACCTTTAATATAATTGCAAATTTTACGTTTATATTTGGATGAGTTGACTTGTGTGGACTATGTTCTGTATAGGCTACTAAGTTTTATTTTTAATTCCGGAACAATCGAGTGTTAAAGTTATTGAATTAAAGTGAAAATAATTTTGTACTTACTTTATAAGACGCCAACATTAATAATATATCAAAAATAACATCTGCCACCATAATAATGAATACTGCGAGGAAGAAGAACTGTTCTACATAATCTTTATATGAAAAAGCGAGAATCACTATAGCCATTAGACCATAGAATGGTAACACAAAGACAGTCGCCACCTGGAATTAAAAATCTTACTAATATAAATGCGAAAGTTTAGATGGATGGATGGATGGATGTCTGTTAGCGTTTGTAGCCTAAACGGCTGAATGGATCTCCATGAAATTTGGCAAAGGTTTAGAGCATAGTCTGGAAGAACGCATAGGCTACTTTTTATCCCGGGAATAGTTACGGTTCCCGTGGGATTCAATCATTTAGTTTTTTAATGTTCACTCGATCATTCTGCAACGGTTCAATATATGTTATTGAAATTTGGCACAGATATAAAACAGAGTCTGGAGTACACATGAGATAAGTTTCATCCCAGAGAAATGTCCAGTTCCCGAGAGATACGTAGCTTTTTGTAATTTATATAGTTCGTATGTTTTCTAATACCACGCGGACAAAGTCGCGGGCAACAGCTCGTGATACATAAAGCTCTTATCATGTCTCGTCACGTAACAACGAAAACATTACAACATTTTCTGTTTAACATATGTTTTCTTTAAAATAAAATCTCGTTAGACATGAGACATATTAAACTGTATCTTACATTTTAAAATTATAATGGCATAGATTTTGCTTACTGAATCTAAAATATTCCTGTCATAATAAAAAACAGTGAGAGGGAGCATTAACTAAGAATGAACCCTTAATTCAGTGGAGTTTTTTGTAGCAAAAAAACTTTCTTTAAACCAGTGCGGTAGATTTTTTTAATACGTTTTTAGACACATTACATACTATCTAATAAAGGGTTAATAATGACTAGAGATTCCAATTTAACATGAATTCCATTAACTTACCAATTTTAGCAACGCCCATAGCTCCAATAAAATAGACATTTTTGTTATAAAGTATTTAAAAATGCATCATAATTACGAAAACAATATAATCTGAAACCGAAACGTGCTGCCGTCTCTTGTTCAAAATGAAGACTGTTTAATTTCGTACTGAAGTCTGAACTAGCCATAGCCATCTCTCTCTTTATCGTTAAGAAAAACAGA